TTTATAATTTTTCTCGATGTACATTTGCTTCTCTCTGACGAAACGTACGAAAAATTACGATAAATCGCAAGAAAAAACCGTAAAGATCTAGAACGAACAGTTGATCGCGTTAAAGACTATGGGAACTGTAGTGGATCGCAGACAGAGCAGAAAAGCAGAACACGTTTGATTCGCTTGAAGAGTAGTACCTACCTGCCGACGCGACGGCAAATGGCAAATGGCAAATGGCAAATACAATTGTGTGGTATGCGTGTCGCCAAGTGAAAGAGGCGAACGAACATTGTATCGCCTCGGTCTCCGCAAAAATGTCCAGCTAATTATATTTGTGCGTGTGCGAACACGTGTTTCACGCTTGTACGGAGAGTCAATGGAGAGGAGACTGTGGCTATCGTCCAACAGGTTGGCACACGGTCCAACGTTGTTGTAAAAGAGAGGCTGCACTCCGCGCTACACTCTCGCAACAAAATGAGAGGAGACGGCCAAGGTAAGAAAACAACTCATGAAAGAAGTGCTAGCACCGTTTAAAGCAGGATGCGAGCAGACCGGCGCGTTCTAAGTGTAATTACCATTGGCGCAATTAATTTAGCTAAAGAGTCTACCGGCATTAATTTACAACGTTCGTCTCACTCTTTCCAACGTCCTCTCCTCTTCCATTTAATGCCCTCGTCAACCGTAGCTCGTCAACCTGCATCGGCATTCCTTTCTCGCGGTTCTCCTCGATGTACCGCCGTGCCGCGCCGCGCGTCGTGAATTTTAACCCATCTGTAAATCATCCCTCGAACGAACCAGCCGTCGCGTCGTGTCGCCTCGCCTCGCCTCGCCTCGCCTCGCCTCGCCTCGCCTCGCCTCGACCAAACGTCCGCTAAACGAACGTTTACGTTACAACTATGATAATTGTTACCCGTATTACCGCATTTTTCGCCACAATTTTCAACCATTTTTCCAACGCGTACACTTTTTACAACACGCGTACAAAACTTTCCTCTGCCGTTTCCTCGTACGTTTTACGATCAACGTTTCCGCGTGTCGTCCAATCGAACGTTTGTATCATTTGCGCACGAGCGCAAATAATTCAGATTTTTCTCTTTGGCGTTCCTCAGAGTAGGCATTCGGGTAGACGTTGACGAACAACTTTACGGCCAAAGTAAATGGACAATGCGAGCATCTCCGAGCCAAACGAGCCAACTTTCTTCCTGCTTATAATCTTGTTACAGCTGCGTGCCAGATAGAAATAGGTTCGAATAGCTTAAAATTGCCAATTGCCGTCTCTACACGAGATCAATTCTTCGACATTCGCCGCAGGACACGTGCCTTTCTCGTGATTCTCTTCGTCGATCACCTGGTACTCGGACTGTCAGCTGCCCATCTTTTATTATTTCCCGAATACGGGAAAATCCCTAAATCTACTTAAGCTACGAGTTTACGTTTGATAAAACGTGTCTATTGCTGCAGCACTCGCCAAATACCAAATACCAAAAGAGGACATTTCCATCTCGAAGCAGCGTCTGTCTCTCTCGTTTAACATATCTTGTTGCGGATTTTATTTCCTTGGATGATTTTCTTGCAACCAGTTACACGAACCAATGTTACAATTAGCCGGGTTACATTTATTCGTTCACCGGCAGCATCGAAAGTCGGGCGTAACGAAAGAAACAGAGGCCGTTTGAAAGAACACACTAGAGTCTTGACACACGGCACAGAGCCAGCCCACTGTCATTGTGGATGGTGAAGTGTCGTGAAAAAGATCACAGAGCACATTGTGCCTAGCTCCGGGTTCGGTTAGAACCGGCCCGGATGACTCTTAAATATTTTACAACTGCCTTACCGTTCTAACACAAACGGCCACCCGTCAGGCCGCCCATTTTTTCCCTTTCTAACATCTGTATAATATTTCACCTGGCGGGACGTGCTCGTGCCTTCTCTATAGAACGCGAACAAGACAGTTACTTTGTCGCGCCACCTTCCTGCCAACTGATTTCACGCGCTCGCTGCTTTTCTCCTCGTTATTGCCATGCCGCTTTGATTTGAGCTGCATCAACCAGATACAACTTGTACAGAGTCTGCATTCAGTGCGGGCCTTTTACTAGTTTGCTAGCATCTTTTCCTGAGAGAAGGAGAACTTACCGCCCGTGCGAAAAAGAAGGAAAAAGTTTGGTTCGTTTTGCCATTGAAATATGAAATATCAGCAAAAAGGAAAAAGAAAAAAAAAGAAGAGTCAAAGAACGCTCATCTTTCACAAACTGTGATGGCTGAACGATCCGAATCTGGCCATAAATTCCCGGATGAGGAACCGTTTTGCAGCCTGAGTCGCTAAACGAGTCTGTCGAATTACAGCGGGCACCGAGGTCGCGATAAAAACCATGGAAAAGAACAACATCGCCGCGGAACCATTGAGAAGGACGAAATTCTCGATCCCGAAGAGTAAAGCCTCGATCCACGTTCCGCCTTCCATTGGCCGCCGTCGCCGCCGCCGCCACCACCGCCGTTGCGTTACATCGGTTGTTGTTGTTGTTGTTGTTGTTGTTGTTGTTGTTGTTGCTATGGTTGTTGGTCGTCGATTGACCATCGAGCATCCGATAAACCAACTCGCAGCGACGCGACGGGCTGACCGTGCAATTGCTAGCAGCAAGCCGCAAGCTGCACCGTGCCGTATAAATTTCTTACGATGCTCGAGGCCGCTCTCTGTGCGCAAGTAGCCAAGCTAACTGTCCTGTGTACGTGGAGCTGCACTTTCTTGCCTGCTCGCTAAAGGGTATTAAATGCCTTCCTTCTACGCTGACCGATGATTCTGCCGGCGACAGTTACTATCTGGAATTTGCCGCCTTCCATCAAACGGCCACCAGCCACCGACCGAGTCTCGACTCTGTATAATTGTACAGTTACAGTTTCTGTCGCGACAAAGCCCGTTCTTAAGCGCGACAGACGCTTCTTCTTCTTCTTCTTTCTCCTCCTCCTTTCTTCCCTCTTCGCACACCATATGCAGATCCATCTTATTTTATTCAAAAGTTATTCAAAAACAGTTGGTTGGCCTATATACAGTGAGTGTAGAATATATTTCTTTTGTTCATTTGATGAAAAGAAGTTGCACAACAAATTTTAATTAACATCTTCGCTATAATGAAGAGATTTAAATCTTTTGTTGAATGGAGGATTTAATTAAAAATTTTCCTCAGTGTCCTCAGAAATGCTTGAATTTGTAAAATTTCTTCTTACGCATTTAATTAAAAATTTTCCAGTGTCCTCAGGAATGTTTGAATTTGTAAAATTTCTTCTTACGCATTTAATTGAAAATTTTCCAGTGTTCTCAGGAATGCTTGAATTTGTAAAATTTCTTCTTTCAAGATGATATTTGAAAGGAACGAATTAGTATAGGAGATGTGCCCAATTTGATTGTTCCATGATCTTTTTTTACAGTGAGAACACTGTGCCGAGCGAAAAAATTGTCGATGATTTTTAAACTGTTATATAACTTTGTAAAAAAATATCGTACAACGATAAAGCATAAAACTTTTATTTCTTTCAAAGATGTTTCTACATAATTCTGGAACGAGGTAAGTGAAGACAGACTTTTCTCTCGAAAATTTTGCAAATTCAAACATCTTTAGAAACACCAAGATTCAAGTTTTTTCTTTACAACGATTCCTTAAAATTTGTTTTACAAAGTTCGACGATTTTTCATCAAGTGTACAAATTGATGATTCCTACGTACATATTGAGCAAAGTTTATAAATCATCACACGTGCGTTCCAATCGGATATAAAATGAAAGTTTGGAGTCTGGTAAGGCAAGCATAATTGCAGAAATTCGCAAATTAATCTTTTTAATTAGTCCTTGCAAATGAAAATTTGATCAGTAGACACTGAAATGCTAGCGACACGTAGCGGTGTAAAAGTGGAACTAAACGCTATCTCTATCTCCGTCTTACGCTACTGCTCTCCTTGTCTCACATCGCGTTTCTCGCCTACGGAGAAACAAAGTGCTGCCATCTGTCGATTCTTATTAGAATTATTTTTCGTTCATCTTTCGTCTTGGATAGATGACAGCATCTCACTTGTCTGTAGACAAGGAACGCGATAGTGTGTAACAAGGATAGAGATAGCGATTAGTTCTAAAGTTTCATCGCTACGCGACGCTAATGTTTCAGGCTCCAATGAATCGATTTAATTTTCATTTGAGGACAAACCTAATTAAGAGGATGAATTAAACTTTTACAATTGCATCTTCTTAATTAGAGCCTCTGCTTCTTTCTTTATATCCCTTAATTTGTACCATAAAGTGTACGAATAAATATTTAGAAATTTACTAGTACCAACATTTTGCCAACAGATGGCGCCACCATGTTCAATGAATTGCATTATTAATTAATCGCGCAAAAATTTGAGTAATATCAGATGGAGGCAGTAAATAATTGCTTGTTTGAAATGTATCAAAAATACCTATCATTTCATCTACATTCCACAGACATTTAGTTATTTTGCAATGTAAACACAGGACTACGCTCTGAAATTCAACGCGAATACTAATGATTTGCAGTAACACATATTAAAAATTTTTGATACTTTTCATGTATATCGGAATAGATTCGCGACTATAAAACAAGAGATATCGAAGTTATCAATAGTCATCGAAAAATATCGATAACCATCGATAGCAGAAACCATCGACACGTCATCGACATTTCTCCATGTGTAATGGAGTGTTTAGCAGGTTTGATGAGATAAACCTGGATATTGTAACCAAACTGTGGAAGTAGATTTTCAGTTTCATATTCAGTTTTACCATATTTTGTGAAAATAAAAAATGATGGAAAGTTCGGATGAAAGTTCGGAAGAGACAGGCTGGGTACTGTACAGAGATCGTGAAGAATGGAGAGATGTGATTCCTGTGCCTCAGGACGACGGCCCTAATCCTATTGTTTCAATTGCTTATTCCGAAAAATGTAAGCATTTTCATCATTTTTGAAACATACTTTGTATTTAAATGGCAATAGAGTTATTAATTTTCTCTTATCTGCATTATACTCTTATAATTATGAAGCATCGCCATCGACCTAACCTCATTTGGTGCAAAGTACAGTTGATAAATATTTGTATAGATTATAAATGTTAAAATAAAAGACTGAAACGGAAAACTGCATCCACTATTGCATTGTTCATTATTTTGATTACATCCGTTTCACAGTCAAAAATAGGGAACAAATACCTGTTATATAGTTTAGATTTCATATGATAAATGTAGATTATATAGAATTTGTACAAAAAACAATGTACATTTGTGAACGATAAGAAAGAAAAGTATTACATTTCCGATATCTGAT